TCACTGTTACCCAGGCTGGAGTGCAGTGGTGTGATCTCAACTCACTGCAACCTCCATTTCCTGGGTCAAACGGTTCTCATGCCTCAGCCTCCTGAGTAGCTAGGATTACAGGCGCACACCATCACACCCAGCTAATTTTTGTATTTTTAGCAGAAAAGGGGTTTCACCATGTTGGCCAGGCTGGTCTCAAACTCCTGACCTTAAGACATCTGCCCACCTCGGCCCCCCAAAGTGCTAGGATTACACGTGTGAGCCACCACGCCCAGCAGGACATATATTATCAATTTGCAGTGATGATTTCAAACCAAATTTTGCCTAACTCTTTTTACATGCTATGCCACTCACTGAAACTCCATGGTCTTAAACATCTAAACTTTATTCATAGGAGAATGGTAGCAGATGATGTCAGTGTTCCTTCTATATCCCCTCAGATCTCTTTTCCATTTTCTTGCACATGGATACTCCCAACATCCAGCAGATATGTCTGTGTTGGAGGGCTGCTCTTGGGCTGCTGGAGCAACTTTGCCTGCTTGAAGAGAAAGCCAAAAAGTACTTGGAAATTTACTTCCCACCAGCAGCTGTCCTTAACCAGTGACTCACTTCTCTTTGCCCTGGTTGGGACGACATTTAGATTGGACCTACACTGTCCCAAATTCCCCATAAGCCTAAGCCAAAGTTACCCTTTCCTGAGTTCTCCACGGGGCTTTGCTTGATGTCTCACCCTTGCTTTGCTTCCTTGCCTTCTAATCTCATAACCCACAGCCCTGTGGGCTTTCTTTGAGAACATTTCCCTGTAATTGACTTTCATACTGATGTTTGTTTCAGGGTCTGCTTCTGAAGCTTACTTTATACAAATCCAAGATGTTCAGCACATAGAAACAGAAAATTAGAAGGAAATAGGAATGTTTCTAGAGGCAGGCCCACCTACGGCAGTGAGAAGTGAGAGCTGATAACCATAGTAGCAAGGGAGGAAACAGAAGCACTATAAAAAGCAAACATAAATAATGGAAAAACTACATCAATCTGGGGCTTAACTGTCCTTCATTTTTCAGTAGTCTCCGAGGTCATTACCATATACAGTGTAATAATCAGTGTTCATAGTGATGACTCTACATTACTAAGGAAAATTTATTTATTTATTTATTTATTTATTTAGAGACGGAGTCTTGCTCTGTCGCCCAGGCTGGAGTGCAGTGGTGCAATTTCGGCTCACCTCAAGCTCCACCTCCCGGGTTGACGCTATTCTCCTGCCTCAGCCTCCCGAGTAGCTGGCACTACAGGCGCCCGCCACCACGCCCAGCTAATTTTTTTGTGTGTTTTTTAGTAAGAGATGGGGTTTCACTGTGTTAGCCAGGATGATCTCGATCTCCTGACCTCGTGATCTGCCCACCTCGGCCTCCCACAGTGCTGGGATTACAGGCATAAGCCACTGCGCCCTGCCAAGAAAATTAAATTATATCCAGAAAAAAGGTGTATCCATGTATAATGCATTTTAAAAGCTTAGCTCAAAAATAATATGAGGGATTGAATACACATTTGACAGGTTCCTCACAACAGTCCACTGAAATGACAGTAAAAGAGTGAAGAAACTGTATAATCCCATGAAAGCAAAAACAGTGCTAATAATGAAAGTTTGGAAAGTGGAACACTAAGTACCTGTTGTGAAGTTGGGGGTGGAAGGTGGCCCTGCCCAAGAGGTAAGTTTATTTGTACTTCAGAGCTCCGATAAAACAAAGTACCAAGCATCACTCAAGCCCAGGTACAGATAGGAGCTAAGTAGGGGAGAATTGGTTAAAAATCTCCTTAAGCCTGGGCAACATGGTGAAACCCTTTCTCTACAAAAAGTACAAAAATTAGCCAGGCATGGTGGAGTGTGCCTGTAGTCCCAGCTACTGGGGAATCTGAGGTGGGAGGATGGCTTGATCCCAGGAGGCGGAGGTTGCAGTTAGTGGAGGTTGCAGTTAGCCGAGATTGCCCCACTGCACTGCAGCCTGGGCAACAGAGTGAGACCCTGTCTCAAAAAAAAAAAAAAAAAAAGAAAATCTACTTAAGCTTTTAGACCTGCTCTACTCTGATAGAAGACTAGTGGTCTGTTCTCTAGAGCAGTTGAATGTGAAGCACTGTTGACTTAGGGATACCATGTCCAGATGAGAACAGAACTGCAGTGTTTTCAAGAAGATTCATTAAAAGTCTATATACCAATCATAGAGACTTCTAGCTCCCTTCCTTAAGTAGCCAGACATTTCCCATCTCCCTTCCCACCCAACCCCAGTCTTCCAAGAAGGATAAGATTCCTTTCCTTGGAAAACCTGGAGAAAAACACTGTAAATAACTGGTTGGGATATCCTTATCTAATCAGCCAGATCCCTGTGCACTCTGAGTGCGCAGAGAAACCTGAAACTTGACAAAGCTCAGTCTATGCCCACAGAATGTCTCATCATCTCTTTTAGTACTTTACTGTCAAATATGAATGGTCAGTCAAGAAACCAGACGTCTGAGAAAAACATTAACACAAACAGGAAAAAAGAAAGTAAATTGGAAAACACAAAATAGGGAGCAGATGAACACTTAAAAAAACTTTCGTGTTTTCAAGAGAAATAAGAGATGTTGCATTCTGTGACAGTAATGAGAGGCCCAAAGAAAATTCAGAGAAAAAGAGCTTTTGGGAAAAAAAAATGAAAGTAGAGATTTAAAATCCAGCAGGGGCTGGGCATGGTGGCTCACACCTGTAATCCTTTGGGAGCGCTTTGGGAGGCTGATTTGGCCAGATCACCTGAGGTCAGGCATTTGAGACCAGCCTGGCCAATATGGCAAAACTCCATCTCTGCTAAAAATGCAAAAATTAGCCAGGCGTGGTGGCAGGTGCCTGTAATCCCAGCTACTCGGGAGGCTGAGGCAGGGAGAATTGCTTGAACCCAGGAGGCAGAAGTTGCAGTCAGCCAAGATCACGTCACTACAGTCCAGCCTGGGCAACAGAGCAAGACTCCGCCTCAAAAAAAAAAAAAAAAAAAAAATCCAGCAGGATCAGCCAGGCACCATGGCTCACACCTATAATCCTAGTCCAAGGCAGGTGGATCACTTGAGGTCAGGAGTTCGAGACCAGCCTAGCCAACATTGTGAAACCCGTTCTCTGCTAACAAAAATTAGCTGTGCATGGTGGTGGGCACCTGTAATCCTGGCTACTTGGGAGGCTGAGGCACAAAAATTGCTTGAACTCAGGAGGCAGAGGTTTCAATGAGCCAAGACTGCATCATTGCACTCTAGCCTGGGCAACAAAGCGAGACTCTGGATACAGGACTGCCCACAAAGGACAATGGGAGAAAGGCCCATTTCTCACGTGAAGTGCTCATTTCAGACTGCAAACAATCAGGGTTTGAACTCGATGCTTTTTTGTTGTTGTTGTTGTTTTTGAAACAGGGTCTTGCCCTGTCACCCAGGTTGCAGTACAGTGGCGCCATCACGGTTTACTGCAGCCTAGACCGCCCGGGGCCCAAGTGATCCTCCCACCTCAGCCGCCTAAGTAGCTGGGACTACAGGCCCGTGAAACTAGGCCTGGCTAATTTTTCGTATTTTTTGTATGCGGTCTCACTTTGTTGCCCAGGCTGGTCTCAAACTCCTGAGCTCAAGTGATCCTCCCGTCTCAGCCTTCCAAAGTGCTGAGATTACAGGCATGAGCCACTGCGCCTGGCCCTTCATTTGTTTTTTGTTTTATCTCTTTCTCTCTATCCTCCCTTGTTTTGGAACCCTGTTTTTAAAATCTGTTTTCCATTTGTCCCTTTTTCCTCCTCACAAAACAGCTCTTATGATTACCCACTAATAAAGGACAGGTCACTTTAAGAAAGAAAAAGGAGAGAGGGAGAGAAAAAGAGAGAAAGAGACTGGGCACAGTGGATCATGCCTGTAATCCCAGCACTTTGGGAGGCTGAGGTGGGCCAACTACTTGAACTCAGGAGTTCAGGAGACCAGCCTGGGCAACATGATGAACACCCCCAACTCCCGGGTCTCTACAAAAAATACAAAAATTAGCCAGACGTGGTGCTGTACAACTCGAAGTCCCAGCTACTTGGAAGGCTGAGATGGGAGGATGACTTGAGCCTGGGAGGCAGAGGTTGTAGTGAGCCGAGGTTTCATCACTGCTTCCAGCCTAGGCGACAGAACCAGACCCTGTATCAAAAAAGAAAAAAAGAAAGACGGAGGAAAGAAGGAAGGGAGGAAGAAAGGAAGGGGAAGGAGACTGAAACAAAGTGAAATAGTCCAAATAGGTCATCTCTGGGTGCCAGGAATACTGAATTTTTTTTTATTTTTTGGACATTTCTACTAAAAACTTTTCTACAATGACCTGTTAATTTTATAACTAGGGAAATAGTTATTTAAAAAAAGAGGCCGGGCACGGTGGCTCACGCCTGTAATCCCAGCACTTTGGGAGGCCGAGGCAGGTGGGTCACAAGGTCAGGATTTCAAGACCAGCCTGGCCAAGATGGTTAAACCCCGTCTCTATTAAAAATACAAAAAAATTAGCCGGGCGTGGGGTGGGCACCTGTAGTCCCAGGTACTCAGGAGGCTGAGGCAGAGAACTGCTTGAACCCGGGAGGTGGAGATTGCAGTGAGCCGAGATCACGCCACTGCACTCCAGCCTGGGCGACAGAGCGAGACTCCATCTCAAAGAAAAAAAAATTCCTTTCTTGTACAACTTTTTGTAATTCTCTGAAGCTAATAAATTCTTTTTTTTTTTTTTTTGCCCCCTCTGGTATTTGCTGTCAGTCACTTCTTTATAGAGAACCCTGACTGGGAATCAGTGGACGAGAAACAGGTTCTGATAGGTGGGGGTATTTTATGACACAGATTTTTTCTTCCAGTTTCTCCAAATATCATCTTCTGAAAGGGATAAAAGTTATATAAAACCAATTTTAAGGTCATTATTAAAAGAGCACCTTACTGAAAAGGGTGGCATCATTTACATATATACTTCTTCAATTCAAAATCATTTTTTTCTGTTGCAGCGTTCCTAGAATCCCATGGGCCTTTGCCATGACAGAAGTATGTGGCATGATTCTGTGCTATATTTGGCTCCTGGTTCTTCTTCTTCACAAGCACAGGTACCTCATTACTCCATTAAAATACTGAAAATATTTTAATTGTTGTATCAATACCATAAAATCTTATCTTTCTCTTTGCATTTCCTTGTTAATTTCCTTCTCTGGTCATTGTGACATAGTTATTAACAAAGGATTTTGAGTTTGATCAGTAAGAGTCAGCCTAAGATAATATCTACATATTTAGTAATAATCCTGAATGCATTTTGCAAGGAAAGATCAGAGATGCCCTATGCCTGATCATGCTCATCTCTGATCTAAAAAAAGGTAAGAGGCCTGGCGCGGTGGCTCATGCCTGTAACCCCAGCACTTTGGGAGGCCAAGGCGGGTGGATCACCTGGGGTTAGGAGTTTGAGACCAGCCTGACCAACATGGAGAAATCCCGTCTCTACTAAAAATACAAAATTAGCTGGGTGTGGTAGCGCATGCCTGTAATCCCAGCTACTCAGGAGGCTGAGGCAGGAGAATCACTTGAACCCTTGGGTCAGAGGTTGCAGTAAGCTGAGATCCCGCCATTGCACTCCAGCCTGGGCAAGAAGAGTGAAACTCCATCTCAAAAAAAAAAAAAGAAAGAAAGAAAGATAAGAAAACCTTATCTTTCTTTAGAAACTAACTGGAAATGTTACTTTCTGTAGAAGGATAGAAACTCTTCCAAGGACATTCTTTGGTCACATGTTTAGATGGAAGAAATTTTCTCTGCTTGGAGGAGGCCCATTAAAAAAGAGATTATTGGCTGGGTGTAGTGGCTCACGCCTGTAATCCCAGCACTTTGGGAGTCCAAGGCGGTCAGATCACGAGGTCAGGAGATCGAGACCATCCTGGCTAACACGGTAAAACCCTGTCTCTACTAAAAATACAAAATTAGCCGGGCATGGTGGCAGGTACTTGTAGTCCCAGCTACTTGGGAGACTGAGACTGGAGAATGGCGTGAACCCGGGAGGCGGAGCTTTGCACTCCACTGCACTCCAGCCTGGGCGACAGAGCAAGACTTCATCTCAACAACAGCAAAAAATGATTCGCCAGGCACAGTGGCACATGCCTGTAACCCTAGCACTTTGAGAGACTGGGGCAAGAGGATTGCTTGAACCCAGGTGTTCGAGACCAGCCTGGGAAACATGAGGAGACCCTGTCTCTACAAAAAATTTAAAGATTAACCAGGTGTGGTGGCACATGCCTATAGTCCCAGCTTCTCAGGAGGCTGAGGTGGGAGGATTGCTTGAGCCCAGGAGGTCAGGGTTGCAGTGAGCTGAGATTGTGCCGCTGTACTCCAGTCTGGGTGACAGAGCCAGACCCTGTCTCCAAAAAAAAAAAAAAGATTATTTTGCACAACATGTACATATATACTTCTTCTTCACATATATACTTCACATATATACTTCTGGTTTACTTCAGGTGGTATAGGAAGTTGCTAAATGGGAAAGTGCTTCTTGGTACTTTCACCAAAAAATATAGAGGAAAGAATTTATTTACTTTAATTTTATTTATTTTTACTGCTTCTTGTGGAGCAGGGCTAACTCACAGGCAGTGTACCCAGAGTCAGCAAGGAATAATTTTTTTAATTAAAAAAAGGAGGTCGGGGGGGCTCCTTTCCTAGTTTAATGGGCAGGAAGAATTAGTGGATTTAAGTAAAAAAACAAGGCATTGTAAGCAAAAAATTTAAAGACAAAATTAGTAGATATTGCCTAAGAGCTCCTGAGGGGGTTAAAAAAATTATAGGTATGTGAGCTTTTGAGATTGTTTAAAGAAAAAAAATTGTAGCTTCTGCTGTCCATTGATTTTAGAACACTGGAGAGAGGAACAAGGGTAGTTGCCTGAGGTTTTGACCTTTCTCGTCACCAGGAAGTGCTTGAGGTAAACCACAGTGATGAGCTTTAGGTCCTAAGTAGCAGTTATTTCAGTGTTCTGAAGGTGGAAAGAAGGGTCAGTGGTTACTATTCTTATCACACTTTTAGGCCACATTGAGCCTCATTCTCTCCCATTTTGTCCTGTTTTGTAGCAATATTTTAAATTCTGGATTGCTTAAAACCAGAGGTGGTTTTAAAATATGTGTATCATTGCTGCTTTCTGGTTAACTTTGCCTCACAAGATCTCATGAATTTGAATTTATCTACTCTTCAAAACTGGAGTTTACCTTCCAGGAAACCTTGGTAGGTTTAATAAAGCATAGAGGTAACCTGTTAAATCCAAGTGTTAATGTTTACTTAGTCAAAGAAAGTATTTCTCAAAGTGTTTGTACCACTTTCATTAGAATCACCTGGGTGCTTGTTAAAATGCAGATTCCTAGGCTCCATCCCAGGAGTGCACATAATGCTTGAAACATACCTAGCCTTGTGTTCAGTGCTTTTTCTGAGGGTGGAAGGATCATTTCAAAAATATGTGATACATGGTCCCTGTCCTCAGGAATCTTAGTCTAACAGTACTAGTTTTGTCACAGTACAGTTCATGATTACCCAAGTGACAGTTATTCAGAATTTTTGTTTGATATATACTTGATATAAAAAAATTTTTTTAACTTAGTATTTTATAGCTTAAGAGAAGTTAGAATGAGTATTCGATAGCTACTATCATTAACCAATTTACAATGGGTTATTTTTTTGTTTTGTTTGAGATAGGGTCTTGCTCTGTCACCTAGGCTAGATAGAGGGCAGTAATATATCATGGCTTACTGCATCCTTGACCTCCTGAGCTCAATCAGTCCTCTTGCCTCAGGCTAGAACTGTAGGTATACACCAACATGCCTGACTAATTTTTTGTAGACAAGGTCTCACTGTGTTGCCCAGGCTGGTCTCATGCAATCCTCCTTCCTGCCTTGGTCTCCCAAAATTCTGGGATTATAGACATGAGCCACTGCACCTAGCCTTCAGTTATTAATGAGCAAAAAATTCCGTAGAATCACAGGTGTTTAACTTTACCTCCTTTTTTTTGTTTTTTATTTTTATTTTTTGAAGCATGTCTCATTCTGTAACCCAGGCTAAAGTGCAGTGGCGCAATCATAGCTCGCTGCAGCCTCCAACTCCGAGACCCAAGCAACTCTCCCGCCTCAGCCTCTCAGGTAGCTGGGATCACAGGTGTGCACCACCACATCCAGCTCATTTTTAAATTATTTGTAGAGATGAGATCTGGCTGTTGCCCAAGCTGTTGTCAAACAAACTTTTGAACTCAAGCAATCCTCCCACCTTGGCCTCCCAAAGTGCTGCAATTACAAGCACGAGCCACCACCCCCAGCCAACTTTCTCTCTTATAAATAATTTATGAGCAATTTTCAGTAATAGGACTAGCACCAGGCTTATTTGTCTTCTGTCTTGTATAACTCTTTTACTTTCTTTTAGCCATATTTTCTTTTTTCCTTTTTTGAGATGGAGTTTCGCTGTTGTTGCCCAGGCTGGAGTGCAATGGCGTAATCTTGGCTCACTGCATCCTCCACCTCCCTGGTTCAAGTGATTCTCCTGCCTCAGCCTCTCAACTAGCTGGGATTACAGGCATGTGCCACCATGCCTGGACTCTTAGCCATATTTTCTTATCATTGAAATGATGCTTTTAGAATCTAATTTAGGTCTGTATTGTTCATTATGGCAAAATTTAAATTAACTAAAATGAAATAAAATTTAAAACTTCAGTTCCTCAGTCATACTGGCCACATTTCAAGTCCTTAAGATCCACATGGTATATAAATAGCTTCTTGGCCAGTATATTGAACATTTCCATCATTGTAGAGAATTCTATTGGACAATGATGCTTTTGATGGTCTTTAAGATTTCTGTCCTCTTCAAAGAGTCTAGTGATTTTTCTGTTTGCTCTTCCTTGAAGTAAATATTTGATACCTGGGGTTTTTTGGTTTGTTTTCTTCTGATCTTTCCCCATTTTTGGTTGATCTGTTTACAGGTCAATACTTCTGCGAAGGCTCTGTAGTCTGATGGGAACTGTATTCTTGCTTCGCTGCTTTACCATGTTTGTGACCTCCCTCTCCGTGCCAGGACAACACCTGCAGTGTACTGGAAAGGTAGCCTGCTACCTTCTTTTTCATTCTTGTTCTTGGTGGGTTGATGGCACACTATATACAATAGGGCTAACATTTTGCTTATAGTATTAAAATATGCTTTTTAGTATCTGCAGTGTTTACAAAAAAATATATAGAAATAATTTGGTAAAAGTCTTAAGCCAGATTCTACCTCCCTGTTATTTCTGTTGAAACTTGTTCTATGTTATGGAGCTATAGAAAACAAGTTTCTTTCTGCTGGGCATGGTGACTCATGCCTGTAATCCCAGCACTTTGGGAGGCGGAGGCGGGTGGATCACGAGGTCAGGAGTTCAAGACCAGCCTAGCCAAGATGGTGAAACCTCGTCTCTACTAAAAATACAAAAATTAGCTGGGTGTGGTGGTGGGCGCTTGTAATCCCAGCTACTTGGGAGGCTGAGGCAGAGAATTACTTGAACCCGGGAGGCGGAGGTTGCAGTGAGCCGAGATTGTGCCACTGTACTCCAGCCTGGGCGACAGAGCGAGACTCCATCTCAAAAAAAAGAAAAGAAAAGAAAAGAAATTTATTTTGGCCGGGCGCGGTGGCTCATGCCTGTAATCCCAGCACTTTGGGAGGCCAAGGCGGGTGGATTACGAGGTCAGGATTTTGAGATAGCCTGGCCAAGATGGTGAAACACCATCTGTACTAAAAATACAAAAATTAGCCAGGCTCAGTGGTGGACGCCTGTAATCCCAGCTACTCGGGAGACTGAGGCAGGAGAATTGCTTGAACCTGAGAGGTGGAGGTTGTAGTGAACTGAGATCACGCCACTGCACTGTAGCCTGGGCAACATAGCAAGACTCTGTCAAAGAAAGAAAGAGAGATTGAGAGAGAGAGAGAGAGAAAAGAAAGGAAGAAAGGAAAGAAAGAAAATTTTCTTTCAATTATCATTTTCCTTTTCCCACCATCCTCAGCATTTTCAAAGTTTCTCATATGGCATGCTCTGGTTCCTTCACTGTCCTCCTCACTCCTTTAAAAATGTTGCCGGCCAGGCGCTGTGTCTACTACGCCTGTAATCCCAGCACTTTGGGAGGCTGAGGCGGGTGGATCACCTGAGGTCAGGAGTTAAAGACCCAGCCTGGCCAACATGGTGCAATCTACTAAAAACACCAAAAATTACCTGGGTGTGGTGCCAGGCACCTATAATCCCAGGTACTCGGAAGGCTGAGGCATGAGAAACACTTGAACCCAGGAGGCGGAGGTTGCAGTGAGCCAAGATGGCACCATTGTACTCCAGCCTGGGCAACAAGAGTGAATCTGCGTCTCAAAAAAAAAAAAAAAAAAAGAAAGAAAAAAAGTTACAGTTTGACGACATACTCATCACTCTAAACTTTACTCTTTCTGAGATAAACAAATAATGGCTGACTTTTGGTTTTCATTTTATTCTTTGTGGCTTTGTTTTGGTTTACTATAGACATCTCCTGGTTAAACAGAATAAATTATGCAGATGGAGACAAAATAAGACTCTGAAAATCGCCTGTACTTTATGTACAAAATTGGGTAAAATTTATATACAAATTTGCAAATAATTTTGTCCAAATTATATACAAATTTGGACAAAAGAACCCTACTTTTCTAGGCCTCTGTGCTTTAATTCTGTGTTTTCACATATTCAAATAAATGTATGTGTTAACACCTTTGTAGTTATTTTAATGTTGTTTGTAACAGCATTCAAGTTCACTTCTTGTGCTGCAATATCATAGCTGAAATGCCAACAAGGGAAGATTAAGCAGCCAAACGAGATCAAGAGCTAAAAATATACTCCTGAGCTGAAGGGTGACAAAACTTTCTCCTGATATTAGGAAGGCTTAGACTGACCAGTAAGAAAGGGGGAAGGGTTGATATGACACAGGATTTCATGTAAAGGAAATGTTTTATTTTTAAGGTAAAAGCTGTTTTGAGGTCTTTTTTTCTTTTTCCAAAAAGGAAAAGTAATTTTTTCAAATTATAAAATTATATTTTATTATAAACGTTCAGGATTCTCCTGCTTCAGCTACCAAGTAGCTGGGATTACCAGGTGCCTGCCACCATGCCCAACTAATTATTTGTATTTTTTAGTAAAGATGGGGTTTCTTTTTTTTTTTTTTTTTTTTTTTTGAGACGGAGTCTCGCGTCTGTCGCCCAGGCTGGAGTGCAGTGGCAGATCTCAGCTCACTGCAAGCTCCGCCTCCTGGGTTCCCGCGCAATTCTCCTGCTCAGCTCCCGAGTAGCTGGGACCACAGGCGCCCGCATCGGCGCCCGGCTATATTTTTTGTGTTTTAGAGTAGAGACGGGTTTTCACAGTGTTAGCCAGGATGGTCTCGATCTCCTGACCCTTGTGATCCGGCCGTCTCGGCCTCCCAAAGTGCTGGGATTACAGGCTTGAGCCACCGCGCCCGCCAAGATGGGGTTTCATCAGTTGGCCCAGTCCTGGTCTTGAACTCCTGGCCTCAAGTGATCCCCCCACCTCAGACTCCAAAGTGCTGGGATTACAGGCATGAGCGACCTCGTCCAGCCCACATATCAATATTTTTCAATGCTGCGTGTCCTTTAATTCTGTAATTTTACTTTCAATAATTTATCTTAAGAGATAACTAAGTGCAAAAGCACAATGTACAAGAAATGGCTTACTATAGCACTGTTTATAAATGTAAAATTTTGAAACAATCAAAATGTACATCATTTGGAACCTGGTATCACAATGGACTACTGTTAAAAGATGTAGTTCCTTTTAAAAAAGTAAACAACATACTATTAAATGAAAATAGGCTAAAGAGGCTGGGTGCGGTGGCTCACGCCTGTAATCACAGCACTTTGGGAGGGCCCAGGCGGGCAGACCACGAGGTCAGGGGATCGAGACCATCCTGGCTAACACGGTGAAACCCTGTCTCTACTAAAAACAAAAAAAATCAAGCCGGGCGTGGTGGCTGGTGCCTGTAGTCCAGTTCTCAGGAGGCTGAGCAAGGAGAATGGTGTGAACCTGGGGAGGCAGACGCTTGCAGGTGAGCAGAGATCGCCCACTGCTCCAGCCTGGGTGACAGAGCAAGACCTCCATCTCAAAAAAAGAAAAAGAAAAAGAAAACTAGGCTAAAGAACAATGTGTTTCAATATATATCCTGTCTGTTTAAAAGTAACATAACAACTACATGGAGATCAGCACTTGCTCCACATAATCCCAACACTTGGAGGCCGAAGTGTATCACCTGAGGTCAGGGATTCGATGACCAGCTGCACCAACATGGAGAAACCCCTCTCTCGACTAAAAATCAAAAACAGGTCAGGTGTGTGGTACCCAGCTACTCGGGAGGCTGAGGGCAGGAGAATGGTTTGAACCTGGGAGGTGGAGGTTGCAGTGAGCCAAGATTGCACCACTGCTCCAGCCTGGGCAACTGGGAAAGTTCCACCTAAAAAAAAAAAACAAACAAACAAACAAACAAACAAAAAAACTTATACGAGTGTGGTAAGTATGCACTTAAAAATGGTCTGTGTGGCTATACAACAACTGTTAACTGTATTATTTATAGGTGGGGCAAAAAAGAATCAGGTAAATTTTTACTTTTTAATATATACATTTCTATATAATGTTTGAATT